TCCGAAACATAGATTAGCTCCAAAAAAACGGGCAAGAGTTCCTCGAGTCTGTCTTCAATCATTGTGAGCGCAAAGAGCGCGTGTGCAGAATCATGACAGGTATCGTCACTCACGACGTCGAAACTTAGTGTTCCCTTCGTGGTCGTCGCAACGCAGGTGAAGATTGTCACCATCTTGGTTTTCCCGTGGTATCCCTGCACTGCACGTTGGAGCACAATACTCCAGTTTTCGGCGAAATCAAAGTGGAGGACTACGACACGTGGCTTCACATTTGCTTCTTCAAGCCATATTGCTCTCTGTTGTGCGCGCCGAATATAATAGTGGGGTATGTATTTCTTCGTCCACTTGTTGAGTTCGTTAAGAAAAGCAGTGACCTCCAAATGTTTTTTCACCAACTCGCCACCAGATTCCCACAGCGCCAACTCCAGTTCATCTTCAGCGCTCATCCCTAGCATCTCGAGGGATATGTCCTTCCGGTTCGAACAGGCTTCACACCTCAGCAAGAAGCAGTTTTGGGAAGAATTTTCACAAAGAAAAATTTTCTTGACGTCTTCAAAGGTCATGGTCTTCCCCGCCGCATTTGACAGAGATGCCAGACAGAGTATGAAGTTGGCGCAGCATACACACACACACTCTTCATGTACAGGGTGTTTCTTAACCCACTTGGGCCGAAGAGAATAAAATTTTGTTAGGCCCATTTTTGACTCGGGATTGGCCGCCTTGAATTCTTTGTAGGTTTCCCTAATAGATCTCGTCATTAATCGCTTCGTGACGAAGACTTCCTGACCATCAATAAAAAGCCTTACGGCATCCTTCTTGTTCGGGATTTGTCTTGAGCAGTCTTTCGCATCTGATGTGTTGTAAGTCAACGCAAGAGCGACATCGTTTTCGTTGAAAGCATGTCCTTGGTATGGGTCAGGTGACGCCCAGACCCCTATTTTTTTTCAGCTTTCTTGATTGGTCCAAAGCATGCTTCGTCACTTCAGGAATTGCTTTCAGGATATCTTTCTTTTTGAGGTTAGATGAGAGAGAGTTAAGAGGCGGCAGCGTTCTAGCTGCGACGCGCTCTTGACGTAGGCTGCTCGTAAATTGCTGACCCAGTCGGAGCACGAGGAGCATGGATCTTCTTTGTCGGTGCCCGTCACTTAGTTTACGACCAATTTTCTTTTTGAAGTCCGCGGTTATCTCGGATTTTTTTCGCTTAACATAGCCGGTACGACTTCGTGGGGTCACGCTAGAAGGGAGTTTAAGTGGTGTCACACTTACTTCGGCAGCATCAATTGCTTCAGACACTCCTTGGACCAGGGCTTCCTCGTCAACGAATGATCTGTCCGCTGGTTTCAGGGATGATGATGATGAGCTTGATGACAACATTTCCTGTCCTTGCTTATGTTTTTCAATCTGACCCAAGAACATTGTGTAGCAGTTATTGCACAGAACATCTCCAGGGCTTACGCGCTAGGCGTCCTCAGCCGGTAGAACTTGCTTAAGAAAACTTAGGTTTAGCTCCGAGACTTGACGAAAATGGCGTCCGTAAAACACTCTTCTCTTGTGTCTCCTTGAATAGTCGGTGCACACTTTCCGGTCTGAACTGAATAATGTATTAGCCATGGCAGTAACGAACACTTCTGGCTTTCTGAAAGCAGGAGCTGTTTTAAGTTCATCCAGCTCAGACAGCACGGAGGTAGAATGAGTACCAGCTTTCCGCCGTGGCTTAGGAATTCAAGTAAAGAGCCAGAAAAGGACCGAGAAGGCTATTATCAGTTAGACGACGTGCGAAGATTCGGCTTCCTTTGGGTCCCCAATCTTCCCGTCGATCCATACTTAAACATTCGCTCTCCGTCTCGCGCGTAATCTGAGTGCCACGCAGCAGCGGCGTCTCTTTTAGTGCCCGCGGATTAGTGGCACGGTTGTGTTAGAAGGACGAGGAGGGGAGCTTGGAGAGACAGAGGGGGGCTCGCGACGTAAACTCTAACCTCGAAACGCCTGCTCTCCCGACAATCAGGGTTTCCGTGTCGGTCGCATCCAAAGGCATAATCCTTAGAGGCTCCAGGACCCCGACAAAGATAGAGGCGGTAGCCCCGTGATGTTCAAGATAAAGTATTCTATACACGCCGCCTGACTGGGGTGGCATCTGTAAAATTTCGGAGCCGAAAGCAAAAGGCCTCAGAGGACTTCTCTAACGATTTGCATTCCCCCGTTTTGGGAGAAAAAGATGCGCTCGCACTTGTGAATACGGACTTCTAAGTAACTTTTTCTTAAGAGCACTACTCAAATTTTTTTTTAAATATTTATGGTTGGATATTAGGTAACTGCTAACGATAAATAAAAAACCTTATATAGGCCAAAATTCTGCTCAGCAGAGCGCCTGTGCGAAGTCCCGTTCAAAACGCTCATAGCACAAGATTCGAGTCTTAATAGCGGCCATACAAACAATATATTACAATTTATGTTGGTAGTTCCTGATAGACTACTATATTAAATAACTCTGAATAAAAAATTAAAAAAATAAAAAGAGCGGTTTTTTAGAAAATCGACTCCAAACTTGCTAGATTTTCGAAATATTCGTTTTTGAGGCACATGTAGCGCATTATATACTTGAGGCAAAATATTGAACTTATACTCAAAAGAAAGAGCATAATTGGTGCTTTACGGTGATATAAATATCATAAAAATATATTGATTAGGTCACACAGCACAGCTTGCTGAACTTCGTCAAATATCGTCACAGAGAGGCGGTTTGACAAATAAAAAAAATCATTAAGAATGTTATGACCTAGGCGCTTTATTAGCATGAAAAAGCCTATGTCTAGAGTGTACCCAAAAAGTTCTATTGATGTAGCGTAAAAAGTAGGGAAAAGGGATGGAGTGAAATATGGCACCTCCGATAGGCTGGAAAAACATCAATTTCCACCTTGACCGCTTCAACGGTCCATAACTTGAGAACAAAAAATCCGACGAAATAACCGTTTGCGTCTTCTTTTATTATAGGAATTGCCCCAAAAGATATATTTTTTTCGTCAAAATTAAAAATTCGACCCTAAATCCGTGCCTGAGTTGAGATGAAATCACCCATATATATATACAGGGTGTCACAAAAAAAAAAAATTTACGCGTTTTTATTTACGACAAAAATAAACCGGGCATCGGCGAACGCTGATTTTCCGCCAAAAGGTAGCGCTAGAGGTGACAACCAGATGGAAAAGTTTCAGCCTAATATGATACCTTGATCAAAAGTTGTGAGTGATTTTCTGAAAATTTCAATGGGAAAATGGCGACCCACGGAGTTTTCGAATACATGGGGTTCTATGGCACAAGAAACCGAAAACGGGCAAAAATGAGCTCCATTTTCCCATTACAATTTTCAGAAAATCACTTCTAACTTTTGATTAATGTACCGGATCGGGTTGAAACTTTGGCATCTGCTTGTGACCTCTAGCGCCACCTTTGGGCGGAAAGTGAGTGTTCGGCGATGCCTAGTTTATTTTTCCGGTAAACAAAATCCTGTAAATTCTTTTTGTGACACCCTGTATATATATATATATTTTTTTTTTTTGACATCCTGCTTATATATATATATATATATATATATATCAAGGTGTCGAACCGGAACCGAACCGAACCGAAAACCGGAACCGAACCGGTATTTTTTCCGGAACTGAACCCGAACCCGAACCGTTATATTGTTATCGCGATGAACCCGAACCGGAACTGAACCGGAAAAAAATAACGGTTACCGGCTCATGTCAAAACGGTTCGGCCAGGCGCTGTTGATAATGAATGTGCTATGAATGCCATTTGTTTTTTAAGTGCCGTCAACTGAAATACACCCTCGCTTACATATTTTTCTTCTCCACTCAGTCTTAGGAATATAAACGCTGCATTCATGAATCTTGACAAACGCTGCATCCATGAATCTTGACATAGGAACCAATATTGCGCTGGTCGCGGCTTACACGGAAAAAAAAAGATTAGGAAGGCTGTGCAAAAAAAAAATCGCGTCACGGGATTTTATTTTTCTACAATCTCGTAAATCCTAAATGCTGCTTTGTGCTCATTTCATAACACGTTTCTAGAACGCGCGAGTTCTTGAAGCTTGCTTCCATCGGAATGAGAAAAGAAAAGGCTGTGGAGTTTGATAATAATGCATCCGGTTTCGTATAGGCACTTAGAAGCTAACATATTTGTGAGACAGCGAACTCTTCTATTTTAATATTTATCCTATTACGTCCTTCTGGCGTTGCGTTCGGTGAAGTGCTTTTTCATATTCCGTATCTTGTTTAATGAAAACTTCTTTAAGGGTCTAATTTGAGTTACCGAAGGCTAGTTCAAATAAAGAAAGCTGTATTTTCTCCCCACTGTTCCTTCAATTGCTTACACGACGAGGTGGCGGGATAGTTAGCGAGTTCTACTTGTAATTGGGTTGGTAAGGAGGTCGCGGATTTTACAGCTACTGCGTCGGACCGAATTAGATGAAGTCCGAATGCGTAAACGTCGGAGAGGTAACCTTTGAGTGCACATAAAAAAATCATTCCTGGTAGAAATCCCTGAGCCTTGCACTACGATGTATCCCGTTTCGTACGTGCTGATTTCAGATGTTTTATTTGTAATTTATTTTGATGTTGCAATTTGTCATTTATAATTTCCGAACCGGTTCGCGAACCGGTTCAGCGCCCCGAACCGGTTCGTGAACCGGTTCGCGGATCGGATTAATCGAACCGGAACTGAACCGGAACAAAATAAATTTACCTGAACCTGAACCGTAACCGAACCCGTATTTTTTTCGGTTCGACACACTGATATATATATATATGGATGGTGTCACAAACAGATTTACGGGATTTTTCTAGAAAATAAACTAGGCATTGCCGAACGCTGATATATATATATATATATTGTTGTGTGTCCGCCGACAAAGGAGAGACTTTGGTACGGAACGTGTCTTTATTCTGCAACCAACATGGGGAGCGACTTGCTCCGTAGCGTCCAGCTCAAGCGGTTCAATGCAACAGACTACCCGCCGCCCGGGTGCCCCATCCCAGAGTTCCCCGCGGCGTTGTACCCAGGGTGACCCGACCCGAACCTCACTCCGCCAAACACCACATTCTTCCGCACTTGATTGAGAAAGTCCCCCTTAGGTCAGTCCCCCGGTGAATAACGATCAGGAGGGCAGCGCACTCTTGTTGGATAGCGCTGAGTCGGCGTTCGAGGCCTTGAAATACTGGTCGACCCCGGGTCCGTTGAGGCACTTGTAGGTGGGCTGGCAGGGGGAGGCTGCGCTTGGCTTGCTGTACTTAAAGCTTGCGGTATGAAGCTAGCTCCATCTTCCTCCCGCGACGCCGGCGTTCCAACTTCCTGGTCCCCCTCCTGCCGAATGTGATCCTGATGGCGTCGCCAGATGACTGTGTCATGGTCCCGGTACACACGCAGCTTGTACGAGACAGGACCGCTCCTTGACAGTATAGTTGCCTTTAGCCACTTGTCTCCGCGATGGGGGTTCCACACACGTACCCGGTCCTTTATTTTAAACTCTCGGGTACGGCAGCTTCTTTGCAACATCTGGCGGAACTGATGCCTGGCCACTCTGCTTTCTACAGATGGCTTGAGAACATCCAGTCTAGTGCGAAGGCGTCTTCCCAAAAACAAAACTGCTGGCGCCTCCCCCGTTGTTGCATGTGGAATGTTTCGGTAGGTTTGCAAAAACTTTCCTAAGGTCTGCTGCAGTGGCTCCGAGGCAACTCCCTTGCGCAGCGCCGATTTTAAGGTTTGCACAAATCTCTCCGCCAGGCCGTTGCTACTGGGGTGATACGGTGCTGTTAACACATGACGTGTTCCGATTCGTTTTAGAAAGTCCTTGAACTCGTTTGACGTAAACTGTGTACCGTTGTCAGAAACCAACGTCTCGGGCATTCCAAAACGCGCAAACACCTCCTGTAGCTTTTCAATAGTCTTTGCCGAGGTTGTCGCTTGCATAATAAACACCTCTGGCCATTTTGAGTGGGCATCCACAATTACCAAAAACATAGCTCCTCGAAATGGTCCAGCGTAGTCTACATGTACCCGCTGCCATGGTTTGGTGGGCCACGACCAAGGATGCAAAGGCGCTTGCGTAGGCAGATTACGCTGTTGCTGACACTGCTCACATGCCTTCACATGGTTTTCCACATCCTGGTCCACTGAGGGCCACCAAAAATAACTCCGAGCTAGCTCCTTGGCTCGCACTACTCCTGGATGCCCTTCATGGATTTCGTCCAGCAGCACGCTCCGTAGCTTTTCCGGCACTACCACTCGCAGTCCTAACATAAGGCAGCCCTGTTGTGCCGACAGCTCCGTGTTACGTTGAAACCAAGGTTTCAGCGCTTGGTCTCCCACGTAAGGAGGCCACCCCTTCAAGACGTAGTCGTACACCCGCCTCAGCAACGGGTCTCGTGCGGTTTCTCTTGCGATGTCCCGACTGTCCACCGGCAAGGACAGTAATCTTAAGGAACAAAAAGACTCGACTTTTTCGTCACTCTCTTGCCGCCCTTCCACTGGAAGTCTGGAGAAACAGTCCGCTTCAACATTCTCAGTCGACCGCTTGAAGACCAAGGAATACCTGTAGGCAGACAGGGTCACTGCCCACCTTTGCAGACGTGCAGCCGCCATTGCCGGGATCCCAGTCTTTGGTCCAAAAATAGTCTGCAAGGGCTTATGGTCCGTCACAAGCTTAAACGTGCGTCCATAAAGGTAAAAGTGAAACTTCTTCACTCCAAACAGCAACGCCAGCGCTTCCTTTTCCAACTGGCTGTACCCTTTTTCTGCAGACGTCAGTGTCCGTGACGCGTATGCGACTGGCCGCGCAGTTCCATCTTCCAATATGTGAGACAACACAGCTCCGACACCGTAAGATGATGCGTCACACGCCAGTTGTAAGGGTGCTGTTGGGTCGTAGTGTACAAGCACTTCTGAGGACATCAGCAACTTTTTGACTCGTTGGAAGGCCTCTTGACATGTACGGTCCCAGTGCCACTTCACATCTTGATGCAGTAGCTTGTAGAGTGGAGCCACTATGGTTGCCAGTTGAGGAACAAACTTGCCGTAGTAGTTCACGGCTCCCAGAAGCGATCTCAGCTGCGACACGTCTGCTGGTGCTGGTGCCTTTACGATAGCAGCCACCTTCTCCTCCGACGTCCTTATTCCTTCAGGACTTATCACATGTCCCAGGTACTGCAACTGATCCTGGAAGAAGGCACACTTTTCTCGCTTGATGCGAACGCCTCGTTCCGCAAAACGCTTGAACACCTCCTCCAGACTTCTTAGATGCTCCTCCTGCGATTTTCCGGTAATTAGCACGTCATCCAAATAACATGCCACCCCTGGGATTCCTTTCAGCATGTTATCCATTACCCTCTGGAAAATTGCCGGGGCCGACGCTATTCCAAAAGGTAGGCGATTCATGAGGTATAGGCCTTTGTGTGTCGTGATGGTCAGTAATCGTCGGGACTCCTCACTCATGACAACCTGCTGATATGCTCTGTTGAGGTCGATTTTTGAAAAACTCTGACCTCCCGCCAACACTGAGAAGAGCTCATCTACTCTCGGCAAGGGATAACGCTCAACATCCAACATCGGATTCAATGTCATCTTGTAATCGCAGCACAATCGTATGGTGCCATCCTTCTTGGGAACAGGCACTAATGGTGTCGCAAACTCGCTACTGGTTGTCGGTGTGATGACACCAAGGGCTTCTAGGTTCGACAGTTCCTTTTCTACAGCTGGAACCAATGCAAAGGGTACACTCCTGGCCTTCAAGAACTTGTGATGACTTCCTTCTTTAAGGAACAGCCTCGCCTCCTCTCCAGAGATCTTCCCCAATTCGTCCTTGAAGATGGACTGATACCTGTCTAGTAATACTTGCAACTTGTCCACTGGCATCGGACTTGCCCCTTGTGTGCTCCTCTGAAGATTGTTGAAGCCAGTCACTTGCTTCCAGTTCAACCGCAGCCTCTGTAGCCACTCCCTGCCAAGAAGTGGTGGCCCTGACTGGTTCAGGACATACAATGGCAGGACTCTTGTTTCCTCTTGATGCGAAACTTTAACTTCCAGAACTCCACAGGGCTTGACAGTTTCCCCGGTGTACGTCTTCAACCGCAGCGCCGTCGGCTTCAAGTTCAATGCCGCAAACCTCTCACGGTACTGCTGCTTTGAGATGACTGATACCGCCGCTCCGGTATCGATTTCCATTGTCACCGGCGAATTCTCAACCAGCACTTCTAACGTCAATGGCTGGTCTTTTGGAGCTGTAATGCGGTTGACATGGGCGTCCTTAGTCACCGTTAAAGTTTTCAGCGACTTCTTCCTTCCTTGCGGCTTCCTCTCCTGAAATGAGCGGCATGCTCGCTGAATATGCCCCTTTCTGGCATTTGTAACAGGTCGCCTCGCTGTGTATGCACGTGCGTGCGAGATGCTTGCTTGACCCGCAACGGTAACAAGCCACCCCTCGCTTCTTAGTATCTTCCTTGTCACCTTTCAACTTGTGGACGCTGGCGCTTTCCACTTGGTCGCTGTTGCCACCAGACCCGTGCACCTCGGATGTGCTTTTTATCGCTGTCTCCAAAGCCACGGCCCGGTCAACCGCTTTCTGGAAGGTCAACGTCTTATCTTCGGCGAAAAGTGCTCGCTGAATATCCACGCGGCGCATTCCGCAAACGAACCGGTCACGCAATGACTCATCCAAAAACGTGCCAAAGTCGCACGTTCGTGCGAGCGTCCTTAGCGCGGCGACGAACTGCGCAATAGTCTCGCCCTCCTCTTGAATTCGGCGATGAAATCTGGCTCGCTCTGCAATAACAGACGGCTTGGGTTCTAGATGGTCTCGTAGTAGCTGCGTTAGCTCGTCGAAGGACTTCGTTACTGGTAGCTGAGGAGCTGTTAGCGACTTGAGTAAGTTGTACGTCGTAGGCCCAATTAGGCTTAAAAAGGCGTCAACCTGGTCGGTTTCCGGCACATGGTTCGCTCTCAAAAACGACGCTAGTCTTTCTTCGTATGACGACCATGAGCACAACGAAGCGTCAAAATGTTCGACTTGCCCGAACTTGGCCATGGCTCTGCACCATTCCGCTGCGTCGCTTGCTCCTCCGTACCCGCCGCAGTTGCTGTCTTCTCAGGCCTACACGGCGTCCACCAGTTGCTGCTCGAGTTCTGCTCGCATGGGAGGTCGGTCGAAAGTCCTCGTCGCCACTTTATGTTGTGTGTCCGCCGACAAAGGAGAGACTTTGGTACGGAACGTGTCTTTATTCTGCAACCAACATGGGGAGCGACTTGCTCCGTAGCGTCCAGCTCAAGCGGTTCAATGCAACAGACTACCCGCCGCCCGGGTGCCCCATCCCAGAGTTCCCCGCGGCGTTGTACCCAGGGTGACCCGACCCGAACCTCACTCCGCCAAACACCACATATATATATATATATATATATATATATATATATATATATATATATATATATATATATATATATATATATATATATATATATATATATACGTGTGTGTGTATTTTTTTGTTTAGAACACTCATAAGAGGACGCGTACTGTCAAAACATTAAAGTTAACAAAAGGGCATACTACATTATGGCATTTTAGTTCGGTCAAACAATTCAAAAGTGAGAGAGTAAAGGCGATCACTCACCACAACGCACCACACGTCCCGTTTCATTAGACGAGGTTTCTATCTAGGAATAGGGAATCGTCAACGATACATCGACTCAGGCTTGTTCGCCCCTCTTAAATTGAACGAAACCCCGCCAATGTGAGGTTTCTTTCGGCTGGTGCACTTGTTGCTGGAATGACGTGCACGAACTGCGCCGCCAGAGTGAGGTAAAGAAATTCGTGTTGGCGCAAGTTCCTTCACTTCAACAGATCGAATTAAGTCTCCTGGATCCACTAGAAGGTCATGAATTTGTCGACTTCGCCACTTGCAGTGTCTGCCACTTCGTCGTCGGTGTCCTACAAATCAGATGGAGTGCCCCGTCGTCCGGATGTCTTCTTGTCTTCGACTTCATCATCCTTCGCCACTCGACGATCTTTGGCAGCTGGGAACATCTTCCTTGCGTCATTTGTACGAAATGCCTTTCTGAGTCGTCGAGCAGGGGAGACCTTTTTTAGTTTGGCGTGTAGAAACACGGCAACATTGTGCAAGCTCTGCAGTTCCGGGGGATTGGTGGCTGAGTGGGCTAGCGTGCACCAGCTCGGAGCACGTGGAGCGAAAGCTCGCGCTGCAGAACCTAGGGATCCTGGGATCAATCCCCACCCCTGCCCGTTTTGATCGAGACGAGCATCGTTTCCGGCGTGCGGTCGTGTACCACTACTGCGTGGTGCACAATAAAGACCCCAGGCTAGCGGCTGTACTGCACTGGCTACATTTATCATCTACAACTGGGAGACTCGTCGTCCGTTGAGGCAGACCAAGTTCTAGGCTGTTTAAACATACATAAAACGCAATTTTTTTTTTCTGTTTTTGTTCCTTGCTGTGCAGTCTCATCTTTTTTTTTTTTTTTCTCACGGAGCCGGGAGCACGTATCTTTGACCTCCCGCAGAAGCTCAGAATCGTTACTTTCTCTTTCTAGGTCCTTCAAAAGTTTCATTCGCCACTGAACCACGAAATAGAGGGTTTGCCTACATCATCACTCCAGGGCATCACTCGCTGCCTTAAAGGGCCAAAGAAAAATTACGAGACACCGCAAAGTGCCCCACTATATTTCGTCGACGCGGCTTGTTTCGCCTTTTTCTGTCAGAACTTCAACAATTTGAACGCATTGTTGCAAAATAGATGAGAACACCATGGCTTGCTGCTCCACCTTGTCTCGACGTCTCCATTGACCGAGAAATCTTAACGGCACTGCATCCAGGTCGGTTGAAGAATGTAACCAAGGATCGACAAGCTCGGAGAAAATCTAATAAAGCAATATCATCATCTCGTTGGTCAGAAAGCATTGTCGACTCAAGAAGAGTGTTGAGAATGTGGCCTAATTAAGGCGCCCCAGTGTTCTCAGTGCCGAGATTACATACGCGCCTCTGTCAGTAACAAATACAATGTTTGTAAAACAGCCTTGAAGGTCAAACCTCCGCACCGCTTGGAGTACTTCAGATCGCATATTTTTATCTTTCTTCTTGCTCTTTTTGTTTAGTTTTGTAGCTAAAAGCACGCACTCCACCAATGTGAAGTGCTTCATGTAGTGCAGTGGTAAACGAAGGTAACAGTTGTTTCGCTAATCATCCGTTCATAAATCAAGGAGAGCCATTGCGCCTTGCAACTCAACGATTGTACTTATTTCTGCTTTCACAAGCTTTCTTGTTTCGTCGGCAATGCGTGCCCTATTCCGGGACACCGTAGTCGAGTGCGGCAGTAGTATAATGCCACGTCGAGCCTTACCACACTCACATCCAATATCAAGGAAACACTGTCCCAGCGTTCTCAAACCTCGTCCGGCAATCCCTTTAAACGGTCTCATATCC